TACCTCGCAGCTTATGGTAAAGCCTAGATTCAAACTTAAGTCTTCCAACTTATATCCCAAACATCTGATTTCACCTTAGTCTTTATCCAAGCCATGCTAAGAAGTTTCTCTGTTCAATCTTCTTGGTGAAATCTCTCATTGATTTCTGCTTCTAAATTCAACCTAGCTTCTTACCAATCCCTATGTTGAAAACGACTAGAAAAGCTGAATAAAATATTTAAAATATCTGTTTGGCAGGGTGTTTTGATATATGCATATAGTTACAGACCTTGGAAAGCTGAAGTGAAAGGATCACTTGGGCCCAGAAGTTTGAGACCAGCCTGGCAACGTAGTGAGAACCCCCATCTCAAAATAAATACTTAAACAAATAGAATATTTGCTTTAAAGTGTCATAAGCAAGTACTGGAGGTGTGAAGATCTTGGAAGAAGAGTGCACAGAGTTGGGCTTGACCCTGTTACTTTTCCACCTGGAAAAATTCATAATTGGTGGATGAGAGCCTGAGAATTTGAGCATATCTTCTGGCCATCTCACAAGGTTGGAGTCTCAGAGTCATCAAGAATGAGGAGTCCCAATGAACAATCTAGGCTTTTGATTGGGATCCCAGAAGGGCTAAGTCCCAGGAGTAAAAGTAGTAAACAGGACACAGACCAATTCTTATAAAAGACTAAAACCTGGTTTTAAATCAGTCTTGATTACAGTGCTTTGTCCCATCCAAACTTCCTTCCAGAAAGAAAATTCTCTGAAGGATTTTAGCATGATATCCAAAGCATGACATTGCTTGCAGAGCTCTTTCTCACATTCCCACATATTCATTAATTATCTCAGTTCAAACGATTCCTGAACATCCTTGCCATGCCAGGCACGTAGCCTGCCTACCTTCATGAAGCTCCATTCTCTTATTCAGCCTGAAGCCATATCTCATCCTATGCAGTGAGAGGAAATCTGGACAATACTGAGGTCTTGGAGTCACTGATTTTGTTAAAGCTTTCCCCAATAAATCATGTCTTGCATGCTGTTTCCATTGTACATTGTACAATCAAATTCTTTTCTCCTGTTCTCTTGAAAATGCAACAGGCTAAAGATGACACTAGGTGCTTCTTGGATACCAGAAAACCAAGCCTCAGGGGTAGGTAGAAAGGTGGTAACTGCTGCATCTTGGCTGCTTGACTCTGGTCAGTGGGCAGATTATGGTGGAGAAAGGCTGGACAGTGGGTGGTATGGGGCCAGAGACCAAATGAGAAGCAGAGCCTGGGAAACAAAACTATTTTTCCTGATGCCTGACCTTTGCATAGCTAGCCCCAATCTTTCTAGTTATTTATCAGGAGAATGAGAGCTTCTGCCACTTCCTTAAAGTTTAGACCAGCTTATGACACTAACAAAGACACCTTTCAGACCAAAGGGCAGACCTTGAGAAGCAATGAGCAACCTGGTTTGGTGGGAATTTAGAGTTGGTTAGACCTCGCTGTGTGATCTTAAACAAATCACCTTGTCTCTCTGAACCAGATAAATTTCTTTGGATGCAAGCAAATGAAACCATCTTTAGTCAATTTAGGCAAAAAAGCAAAAGGGTGAGGAAATTCTGTATCACCCCTAAAGAGAGGGGGGACAGTAAATCACTATGTTTCTGAATGCACCATTTCTGTTCTCAAAAATCTAGCCTAGTCAAGGGAATAGCAAGCCTGGGCAGAAAAATCCAGATACATATGATTTTAAGGACACTGGCTTTCTCTTAAGCTCACTGGGAACTATGGCAAGTTAGCAAGTTAGTGCTATCTGTGGAAAACTACTTTCTTTCATGTATGCCAGGACAGTTGCTGGTCAGACAAGCAAACTAAGCCAGCCAATGTTAATGATGTCACTGTTTCTGCAGCCCTCTCTGAATGGGGACTGGTGGAGAACTGAGGGCACAGTGGAAAGAATATGTGTCCTATGCAAAATGCCTAGAGGGAGAAGAGGCAGTGCTTGGAGAAGCACCAAGAGGGACAGAGGTGCTTTCTGTTCAGCCTGTTGCCACAAAACTCTTCTTGGAGTCACTGATTTTGTTAAAGCTTTCCCCAATAAATCTTGTCTTGCATGCTGTCTCCAGAGACTTTCTCTGGCTTTTTCACAAATTACCTCACTGCCCTGGCACAACTGGGCTGTGGACAAGACAAGCTCCTAGAATGATAGGGGGGAAAAATGAGAACCAGGCTCAGAACTACAAAAAGGAGAAATCCAGGCCAGCTCAGGGCCTAGGATCAGGAATAGAAGGGAGGATTGGTTGCCCTGTGGGTCTTTGTTGCTGGGAAGGACGGGTTCCTGGTTTTTCCCTTCTCTGGCTCACCCAGCTCTGCAAAGTTCTGGGGAGAAGAGTCCAATTGGTCCAGTGTAAGTTCCATGCCCACCTCTAGCTGTGAGGAAGCAGAACATCTCTGCTGATGGAGCCACAAACACTGCAAACAGAGGGAAAAGGAGCTCCTTCTAAGAGATGCCTTTACAAGGCTCCTTTATACCTAGAACTGTACTGGGTGTTGTAAGAAAAAATCATATCAAGTTCTGTTGGAGTTGAGGGATTGCTTTGGTGGCTAGGATGAGTTGGAGGACCTTATTTGACCTGTTTACTGCTCCATTCCTCAGGTCTAGAACATTCGGCTCATAGGTCCTCAATACATGTTAAATGAATAGATGAAAAACAACCTTTGCCACCAAGAAAGGCCTTAACTCGAAGAATTGCAACTTCTGTGGCAGATCAGAATGGGGAACTCTTTGTTCTTTAAGCGCTTCTTAAATCACGTGAATTCTGTTCAGCTCTGCAAAGTAAAATCAATTCTGCAGGCAGTGACTATGATCTAGGATGTAGAAGCAACAGATGCCTGAAGATGGTGGCCATCCAAACTCCTTAGACTGCCACCTGAAACTCTTCACCCACCTGGCTCTTGCCTTGTTTTTTTTTTTTTTTTTCTGCTACTTGTTTCCCCCTACTCTGACCTCTCACGTCTAATTGACTTGCAGTTCCTGGCTGCTAGAATCCACCCTGTTTCTTTCTAATCCTGAGCCTGTATTTGACCAATTTTTAGTCCTTTAGTTTTCATTTAAATGCCACTTCCCCTAGGAAGCTCTCCTTGATCCACAATCCCAAGACTGGACTGGTTGGCCTTCTTTGTCCTCCCATAGCACCTCAGGTTATTCCAGTGGTGGTTCTCATCACTCTGCATTATAATCTCCTGTTTATTTTTCTTTCTGTATGTGCTTACACATGAGCAACTTGAGTGCAGGCCCTTGTCCTTCCTTGAGTCCTCAGTGCCTACCTCACTAGAAGAAACTGTAAATATTTGTTGGGGTGTTAATGATAGTGGTGTTAAAACCAGCTACCCCCCCCACACACACACACCTTAGTGGCATACACCTGTAATCCTAGTGGCTCCAGAGGCCAAGGCAGGAGGATTGCAAGCTCAAAGCCACCCTCAGTAATTTAGCAAGATCTTGTCTCTAAATAAAATATAAAAAAGGGCTGGGGATGTGGCTCAGTGGTTGAGCGCCCCTGGTTTCAATCTCCAATACCAACATAGGAAAAAAATATATACATACAGAGCTCATGAAAGAGTCTGAGGGTGTGGTAGCAGAAGTCTTCCAAGAACTTCAAACTAGATCATGACAGATACCCCACTGTGTGCCTCTACACAGTGTTTTCCTTAAATGATTTCTCATGATTGTCAAGTAATAATTATAGGTTGGAGTAATTACAGGTTACTTCCAGCTCTGTGCCACCAGCTCCTGGTTCTCAGCCCACTCACAAGATATTCAGCCTACTAGATGATTCCCACCACACCCCTTCTCAAATTAATTGCATTGACCTTTTTGTTTGTATATATTGGAAGTATTTAACTTCTTTATTTAATGGATGTACATTTAATAGAATAGTTGTCTCCATCTCATAGTCATTGCCTGAAGGGCAGGTGCTTCATACCTTTCTCAGTACAGAACTTTGTGTGCTGCCATGAGAAAGCAGGTGCATCCAAGAAGAGATAATGAGTGGAGTTGCTTTGGTTTCATAGGTCCCAGAAAGGATAGAATATAAATGACCAGAAGAAGCACAGACTACAACCTATAGAAAACTCTGAAGGTATTTCATTTCCTACCCCAAATCTATATCATACCTGAACATGGTAGCACATGCCTGTAATCCTATCTACTGGGGAGGCTGAGTCAGGATGGTCATAAGTTCCAGGCCAGCCTCAACAACTTAGTGGACCTTGTCTCAAAAAAAAAAAAAAAGAAAGACTGGTGGAAGTGGAATGGGGATGTAGTGCAATGATAGAGTACTCACCTAGCATGTGTGAGGCCCTGGTTCAATTCTAGTACAAAAAAAAAAATCTACCTGCCTGCATTATTCAATTGGCCTTGTCTCCTGAACTCTGGCCAATCCAAGACCCTCCAGGACCACAACGCATCAGTGGACTTTGAGAGAAAATGCTAGGACTGTGAGGACCAAGATGTTGCTTGGATTCATATGGAAAGGGATCCAAGGGAAGGCTGAGAGTGAGAGATTTGCTCAGATTTTCTCCAAGATGTAAACATATAGGTGTATGTAGAAACATAAACAGAAGTTATAGCTCTTTTGTTTTTCTTTCAGTACTGGAGATTGAACTCAGTGATCTACCACTGAGCTAAATTCCAGTCCTTTTTTAAGGTTTTAAATTTTGAGACAGGGTATCACTAAACTGCCCAGATTGGCTTAATATTTGCAATCTTCCTGTCTCAGCCTGTTTTTTTGCTTTCCAAACTAGATCATGACAGATACCCCATCTGTTGCTAGGTTTATATGCCTGCAGGGAGTTTGTCTTGTTTACTGTCTTGTCCCCCTGTGCTCAAAACGGTGTACAGCATATACTAGACAATCAATAAATCTCAAATGAGCAATTGGGCTCGGGCATTGAAACAACAGGACATTCCCAGCAACCAGAAAATAGGCAAAAACTTATGTAGGGAAAGTGATGATTACTGATGATGAGTGAAGGCATGAGAGCAAGGATTGTTTATTGATATGAGAAATTAGCCATTGCAACGACAGGACAACAGGAATCTGCTCAGTGAGTCTTCTTTCCTTGACATATGAGGAGCAGTAAATCATGGCCATGTCCCACTGGTACCCTCTGACATCTGTCACACTTCTGTATGGGAAACCATGGAATCACTAGGTCTTGAATGGAGTCCTGGGCAGCTGTACCAATGGCCAACGAACTAGCCATCATTGACATCTCCCCTATTGCTCACATCAGTGCCTTGGGAGCCTTTGATGTTGGGGAAAGGTACAGCTTGCATTTAAATTTGCTCCTTTCCCTGAAGTTTAAAATCCACACGTCCAGCTCCCCATCCCAGGATTTATAACCCAAAGTCTACATACACATTCCTGTAACCCTTGATGTCCTTAAACTTGTTGCTTCTCAGATTAGCTTGGATCTGCCTCTGGCCACTCTTGAAGGGGACAGTCTTCAGAGAGACAGTGACTTTGTATCGGGGTTTGAGGACTCCAATGCTGCAGCAAAGAATGAAAAAGGTCAGAACAACCCATAGGCATTACAATAACTCTAAAGCCCTTTTCCACTGAACTTCCTGGTCTCTCCCTCCTCCAGTGTACTGAGCCTGGCCCAGGAGCCTACATCTAGAAAGAAGGATAATGCTAATCCCAGAATAAAATGAGAGAGAAGGCTGAGCACTCCCAGCACTTACAGGACCCTTTGCTGCTTCTTAAAGAGGCCACTTCCTTCCAAGGTCAGGACACAATCTTCCACTTGTTCTGAGAGGGGATTTGAAAATATGACCTGAATAGTAAGTGGCTGGTTCATAATGGCTTCTCCTAGCACCTAAAAGAACAGAGCAGGGAAGCAGTGCTTAGTTCTCAATCCCGAATCACTGAACGCTTATGGATAGCACTATTTTGTAGGGTTCCAGAATATGCCACCCCAAAATATGCTACTTTGACATCAGGATTATTTTAAGTTGGAGGCAACAAGAAATGCTCTCTGGCCTCCTTCTATTTACCTTAAAGCAGGACATATATTTACTAAGATATCCCCTCTTCTCTCTACCTAGAAGGACAAAAGTTAATCCCTGAGACAGCCTAAGAGGTTTATCAGCCTGGAGGGGCACAAGAGGAATCTATAAAACAAACTTTCCTAACTAACCCTTACCTCCATGAGTTTCCCATTTACTGGACTTCTCACAATCTGCCACCCCCTACTCCCACACACAGAGAAGAAAAGTCTTTTTCCTTTGTTTTGTCACTTCTCTAAAAGTGTATTGATCCTTTGCTAAGATGCTACACAGGCCCAAGTGCTCACCAGACATTTGAGTTGCCCCATTAGGGGCTCATGGACTCACTAAACGGGGTCTGGGAGGTGGATTGGCCTTGAGGTGATGGTACTGGAAGAAAGGAGCCCTAAACATCATCCCACTCAAAAGACCACAGAATGTCAGAGCAGGAGGGGTCCTCAGAAGCTCTGTAGTGTAATCCTCTATTTTGTTTTTAGGCATATCTACTCAATATATTTTATTTTTTTTAAACATCAAATTGTATAATTTATTTTTAAGTGGTGCTGAGAATCAAACCAAGTGCCTTGCAGGTGCCAGGTGAGCACTCTACATTGAGCCACATCCTCATCCCCTATAATCCTCTTTTTTGACAGTTAAAGAAGTAGAGACCCAGATGCATAGCCAGGAAATGGCAAATTATATCTGAGCTAACCTTGAGGCAGGGCTATCTCTCTATCTGAGCCCCTCCCATCTGGACTCTATGTCTATTTGTTGACCCTAGGAAGGCCAACAGCAGGAGGTAGCACAAGAAAGAATAGTTCTGACAGTCCATGGCCCCTGCTCAAGGACCCACTCATAAAGCCTCAGTGGTACTAGAGAATAAAGAACTCTTAAGATAATTTTCCCATCCTAAGGACACCAGAAGAAGCAAAGAAAAGGAGGGGCTAAGGGCTCCACCCCCTCCCATTCAGAGTCAAGGAGATCCATGGCCATTTGCAGGGCTCCTGCCTACATTAATCATGATGCCTGGGTAAGTCAAGGTGATGATCTTGTTTGCCAGGATTTTCTCAGGACTGCTCTTTTCTTCACCCAGGGCACTGAGGCGGATTAGCTTGTCTGTTGACAGGTACTGGCTGTACTGGGAATAGAGGATTTTGCAGGGGTAGCTCTTTGCTAGGGAGAGAACACAATGATGAAGTGAGAATAGCTGAGAAAATCAGTTGGGCCTGGAATGGATCTGATAGCTCTTCCATAGAGAAGAGGGAACCAATGTGTAACCAAGTCCTGCTGAAGCAAGCACTAGTTTTTCAGACAGAGAAAACTTGAGACTGAGTGGTGAAATGGTTTGCCCAATCATTCTGCTAGCAAATGGGTGAGCTGAGGCTCCAGCCTAAGGTCTAGATGACTTTTCCCACTAAACTAACTACTTTCCTTGAAGATCCAAAAGGGGAGCAGGAATGAAGAGGGAGAGAGAAGAAGGGGAGTAGGGAGTAAGAGGGAATGAGAGAAAAGGAAGAGGAGGAATATGGACTGGAGAACATGGTAAGAAGAACAGTGTCCCCGGGGTCTGTCCCCAGACCTCTGTTGACTGACTTGACTCTTCAGTAGTGGCCTAACTGACTCTGCACATAGTGTGTGCCATGCCCATATTCAGAGCCCATACCTTCTTTGGGAGACAATGTGATAAATGCCATGTCCTGCCAGAATGGGGACAGTGGGCTGCCATCATGAAGCAGGGACTGGGCACTCAGGTTCAGTTTGAGATCCTTGAACTGGGATGACATATTGAGTGCCAGCAGGACAAAATTTATGTCCTGGCCCATGTTGGGAGAGTCTAGTAGCTTGAATTTCAGGGAGACCTGAACAACATCACTAGGTCGAAGGAAAGGTGTATCCGGGCTGTGAGGGCTGTCCTGGTTTGGTGGCATGGGCCTGGAGGGTTCTGAGTCTGTTCGATGGGGGCCTTGGAACCTTCCATTCTTCAGTTTCTGTAGAGCCTTCAGAAACACCTGCCTCTCTTGAGGAGAACCTAGGATGGTAGAACACAGAATTAGCTGTGGGCTAGGCTAACTAGCAAGATTTGGCTGAATGCCCACCCTCAATGCCTCTGCCAACACTATAGAGGTTAGAGGGGCTTAATACCAGTAATAAATATTTTAAAAAGCATTCATTAAGTACACTCTTTCTAGGTTCTCTCCTGGTTCATTCTAAACCACACACCAATGGTACATTTGGAACAAACCTAATCAGGACTTGGATTGCCCTCTAATACTGAAATAGCAACAACACATCAACAGCAGACTCCTGGAAAATCTGGACCTGGGCACCATTCAGTAATGAAATAGTGGAAGTGACTAAAAGTTCAGAGAAAATAAGGAACCTGTTGAGAATTTCTGGAAAAATAGGCAAAAACAATGCCAGGTTAAAGAGACCTAGCCCTTCAATGACCAGATGAAACATCAACACACATATCAACACACATCAAGAACTTTCAGGAAACTATGACTTCAACTAATAGGGTTCCAGAAACAGAGCAGACAGTGATCAGTATGTGAGAAGTCACAGAGAATTTAAAACAACTATTTAAAGAAAAGTCAATGAGCTTGAAGAAACAGTGAAATGTTTCGATACTCTAACAGAGAAACAACAGAGATTTTTTTCAATTAAAAAAATCAAATAGAAATCTTGAGCTGAAAAAATACACTTAGCAAAATTAAACATGCAATAAAAAGTATCAATAGAAAAAAAAGAGAAAGTATCAATAGGATAGGACAAACAGAAGGACAAACAGAAGGAAGAATTAGTGAGCACAAAGATCAGCTATTTCTTTTAAAAACTGTTGAAAAATATTGTGTTTGAAATTGTTAAACCACCTCTGAACAGAATACTGTCTGTACTGGTTCATTGGGTTGAGGGAGGAGAGAGAGAAGTTGTTGCAAAAGGTATTTTGTTAGAGCGTGCAAGAAAATTTTAGCTTACCCATTGTCCTGTAATGTGAATTTCATTTAACTTTGCTGTACTATATATATTGTATATATACTGGATAAAGGAGTCCTAATTTTATAAATCTTGTCTCTAGATATTAAAGAGGTTGCCAATGTATGACAAAAGTAGAGTTAGTAAACTAATACATTTTGTACGCTTTGTGTTAAAATTCATAGAAAGGCAGTCCTCTGAAAAGGAAGTGAAATTGTAACATTTTATCATGTGACACTCAGACGTGACACATGTGATATAGAAGAATGAAGTGGAAGAAATGAAGGATTCTAGGCCAGAATGATCCTATTTAGAAGACGCTTTCAGATATAACCATTGTTACATGTGTATTTATTTAACACAATATGAACATAGTGGACAAACTTAGTCTTTCTAGATGTTTAGAAGTGCAAAAAGTATGTTAAGAGTAGAGGTAGTAAAGGAAACATTTTGTGGATATCTTTTGGTTAAAATTCATAATGAAATAACTGTCTTTTGGAATAGGATGATTAAAACACTTCTCTGAGTAGCACATATTATATCAGTGCTGGTTCAGGAAAGAAGGAAAAGAAAATCAAAGGGCTTTATACCAATGTATTTTCTGTGAATTGACTGTTGGCTCTTATGTCTGTGAATTTTGTTTTCTTATGCTGTGTAAATAATGTATATAAAGGACAAGTGAATCCTAATTTACATGTAGTCTATCTAGATGTTAAAGAGCTTGCCAGTGTATGATAAGAGTTAATAAGCTAACACATTGAGTACACTTAGTGTTAAATTCATAAGAAAGGCAGTTCTTAAAACCACTAAGAAAGTAAAATTGTTAAAGTCATCTCTAAGCATTACAGATACATAAATCTGGACTCTGGGTTAATAAGAGATTAGAAGGGGAAGGGTTCTAGACCAGAGTGTTTCTGTTTGGAAGACACTTTCAAATTCTAGCCTTTAAAAAAAGGAGGTTTTGCTTCAAAGTATAGCCTTTGTTAAGTAAGTGTTGCAGTTTATTCATTGCTACTGTATATATGGTTGGAAACTTAAGTCCTTGTTGGAAACATCTAGTGTTTCTAGATGTTTAAAAGTCCACAATATATGGTAAAAGTAGAGGGCTAAATGTTTTGTTACTACGTAGGAATGGTTGCCATTTAGGGGACTGGAATTGTTGAACTTGATGTCTTGGAGAGTATGTTAAAGGTTCACTGGGTGGTGTGGGGGAAGGAGAAAGTATGCATAGAGAAGCAATCATGTCCCTTAGATTAGTTCAGATTGTCTAGCCATTGTTATATATACATTTTAATTAATATTGCTGAGTATTAAAGGATAAGTCTTAATGTCCAATGTTTGCTAGAAGTAGCAAAATAATCCCTATATATAAATATCCTTTTGTTAGTTTTTAGGAAGAATTGTCTTCTGGGAATGACCCTTGTTAATCCACTTCTTGGAGCTAGGGGTAGTCCTGAATTTAGTCTCTGGAATGATGAAGAGGGAAAAGAGGAAGTGTGAGGGGAAGTGCTCTTTGCTAGTATGTCCATATCTGGAAGACAGGTTTAGATTATAACCATAGATTTATATGTGCATTTTTGATAAAGTATTTGTGTTTATTGTGCACAAAGTTCATACTTTATTTCACAACATCTAAACTTTCTAGATGTCCTGAGGTGACAATAAATCATAAAAAGTAGAGCTAGTGAATTAGCCAATTTGTAAATATCTTTGTTATAATTGATAGAAAAGATGCTTCTTGGGCATGAAATTGCTTTATCTCTGGGCAGCGTATATCAGGACTTGTTCATTAGCTGGCAGCAGAGGGGCACAGGGAAGCACACAGGGAAAGATGGGAGCAAGTGCTCAAGGATTTGCATTTTGATATGAACTACTGGTGTGTGTGCATCTTCTGGCTATACTATAGGAATACTTTAATTCACTGGGAACATGCATTCTTCCTAATATTTTAGTAGTAGAAATCTTGTAATAAAACAAGCTTGGTGTATTAAGGGAATGCATTATTTTAGTTGTAACTCTGCCAATATGTCTATCTAGAGGCCTGTCTTCAGTGAAATTTTTGTTCCCAAGAAAGGATAACAGGGCTGGGGATGTGGCTCAAGCAGTAGCGTGCTCGCCTGGCATGCCTGCGGCCCAGGTTCGATCCTCAGCACCACAAACAAAGATGTTGTGTCCGTTGAGAACTAAAAAATAAATATTGAAAAAAAAAAAAAAGAAAGGATAACATATTGAGTTGGTGTAGTATATTCTTGGTTATCAAAAATACTCATGTAGCTTTAGGATTTTGAATGGGTGAATATTCATGATGTGTGGAAAAGCATGATACATACTAAGATCTCAATCACTCAAAATGGGATATTGTGTATGTATACATATGACCTGGAGGGACACGTCCAACTAAGATGCTTGGGACTGGATGACTTCGTCATTTTTGCTTGTGTTTTTATTTTACCTGTAATGCACATATTAACTTTTAAAAAATAAATTCTATTTTTAAAACCTGAAAAAGGGGCTGGGGATGTGGCTCAAGCAGTAGTGCGCTCGCCTGGCATGCGTGCGGCCCAGGTTAGATCCTCAGCACTACATACAAACAAAGATGTTGTGTCTGCCGAAAACTAAAAAATAAATATTAAAAATTCTCTCTCCCTCTCTCTCTCTCTCTCTCTCTTTCTCTCCCTCTCTCTTTAAAAAAAAACCTGGAAAAAAAGACAAGCTATTTGTAAATACACAATTGGAGAAGAAAAAAGAATGAAGAAAAAAATGAAAGTTTACTGGAACTTTGGAACAGTATTAAAAGAGAAATGTTTGAATTACTAGAATTCAGGAAGGATTTGAGAATACCAAAGGGTTAGAAGCTTTATTCAAATAAATTATAATAAAAAACTTCTCAAACCTAGAGAAAGATGTAAATATTCAGGTACAGGAAATTCAAAGGTCACCAGTTAAATTTAATTGAATCAAATCCACCCCAAGACATCTAATTGAGCTTTCAAAGGTCAAAGATAAAGACAAGGTTGTCAAGGCTGCAAGAGAAAGAGATAAGTAACATATAGGGGTGACCCAATTCACTTGAAAGCAGACTTCTTAGCAGAAACCTTGTAGGCCAGGAGAAAGTGGCAGGAGAATTTCACAGAAAAAAAAATTCTTTCAGCTAAGAGTACTGTTCCCAGCAAAGTTATCCTTTAAAATTAAAGACATTTGCAAACAAATAAAAGCTGAGAAGAATGTATTTCCACTACACCTGTTCTAAAAGAAATATTAAAGGAAGTTCTTTAATATTAAAGGAAGTTGAAATAGACATTAATAAATAAGAAGAAAACACAAGAAAATATAAAACTCAATGATGAAAGTAATTATACAAATTCTGAATGCTGAACATTGTAAGCATGGTGATGATACAGGAAATATATATATATATATATATATATATATTTGAGGTACTGGGGACTGAACCCAGGGGTGCTTTACCACTCAGCTACATCCCCAGTCCTTAAATTTTTTTTAATATTTTTTATTTTGTGACAGTGTCTCACTAAGTTGCTGAGGATAGGCTTGAACTTCTGAACCTCCTGCCTCAGTCTCCTGAATCTCTGGGATTACAGATGTGTATCGCCATGTCTGGCCATTTATGTCTTTAGTATAAAGACTAATAAACAAAATAATTAAAAAAATATAACTACATTAATATGCTAAAATATAGGCAATATAGAAATATGTAAAATGGGATACAAAAAATTCAAAATGTGGGAAATGGAATACAAATGTAGAGTTTTCTTTTTTTAATTTTTTTTTTAGTTATAGCTGGACACAATATCTTTATTTTATTTATTTTTTATGTGGTGCTGAGGATTGCACCCAGGGCCTCACGCATGCTAGGTGAGCACTCTACCTCTGAGCCACAAACCAAGCCTTAGAGTTTTCTTATTAGTATATTTTCCCTTGCTCTTTTGTTTCTGTTCTTACATGTATAATCATAGAAAGTTGCTATAATTTCAAAATAGCTTGCTGTAATCAAGAGATGTTTTTTGTAAGCCTCATGGTAACCACACAGAAAACATCTATTACAGACAAACCAAAACTAATAAGCAAGGAATCAAAGCATGCTATTAGAGTAAATCACTTAATCACAAAGGATGATCATAAGAGAGGGAGAAATAAAGAAAAGAACCTCAACAAAACCAGAAAACAAGTTACACAATAACCATAGTAAGAACAGATCTATCAGCAATTACTTTGAATTTAAGTTCTCTAATTAAAATACATAGAGTTACTGAATGGATTAAAAAAAAGAACAAACAATATGTTGTTTACAAGGAACTCACTTCACATTAAGGATACACAGAAGACTGAAAGGTTCTGGGTGGGAAAAGATATATCATGCAAATGAAATGCAAAAGAAACCAAATTATTTCAGATTACGTAGACTTTTAAATCAAAAGCAGTAAAAAGAGACAAGAAAAGTCATTATATAATGATAAAGGGGTCAAATCAGCAAGGAGAAATAGCAATTCTAAATATTCATACACCCAATATTGGAGCACCCAAATATATAAAGCAAATATTAGTAGACCCAAAGGGAGAGATATTTGAGGATTTGAACCCCACTATCCAAACCTATGCATATAGCAAAAGCTATAAGGAAAGTGCATATCAATCAATGCCCACATCAAAGAAATAGGATGATCTCAAGAAACTAGAAAAGCAAGAATAAACCCAACATTAGCAGAAGAAAAGAAATAACAAAGATAAAAGCAGAAATGAATGAAAATGGAGACTAAAAAAGTAAACAATATCAGTGAGAAGTGGTTCCTTGAAGAGATAAATGAAATAGACAAACCCTTAGCCAGACTGACAAAGAAAAAGATTCAAACAAAATCAGAGATGAAAGGGAGACATTACAAGTGATACCACAGAAATACAAAAGATCATTAGACATTATTATGAACAACTATATGTCAAGAAGTTTTATAACTAGATGAAATGGTCAAATTCCCACACACATACACTTTACCAAGACTGAATCATGGCTCGGCATTGTGGCTCACACCTGTAATCCCAGTGACTCAGGAGGCTGAGGCAGGAGGATCATGAGTTCAAAGCCAGCCTCAGCAAAAACAAGGTGCTCAGGAACTCAGTGAGACCCTGTCCCTAAATAAAATACAAATAGGGATGTGGCTTAGTGATCCAGTGCCTCTGAGTTCAATCCCTGGTAGCTTTCCCCAAAAAAAGACTGAATCATGAAGATAGAAATCCTGAACAGACCAGTAATAAGAATGCATCAATAATAAAACCTCCCATCAAAGAAAAGTCCAGGACCAGATGGGTTCACTGCCAAATTCTACCAAACATTGAAATAAAACACAAATTCTCCTTAAGTTATTCCAAAAAGTAGAAGAGGGAGTTATTCTTCCAAACACATTCTATGAAGCCAGAATTACCATGATACCAAAACCAGAAAAGGACACAATAAAAAAAGAAATCTATAGGCTAATATCTTTGATGAATATAGATGCAAAAATCATCAACAAAATAGTAGAAAACTGAGTCCAACAGCACATTCAAAAGATCAAGTGGGATTCAATGGAGGAATAAAAAGATAGTTAAATACATGAAAGTCAATAAACATGATGTATCACATCAATAGTGTGAAGGATAAAATCCATATGGTCTTCTCCACTGATGCTGAAAAGACATTTGATAATGTTTAACATCCTTTCATGATAAAAACTTGGAACAAATTAGGTATAGAAGAAATATACCACAACATAATAAAGGCCATTTATAATAAGCAAACAGCTAACATTACAGTGAACAGGCAAAAGCTGAAAGCTTTCTTTCTAAGAGCTGGAAAAGACAGGGTGCTCACTTTCACCCCTTTTATTCAACATAATTCTGGAAGTCCTAGTAGAGCAATCAGGCAAGTGAAAGAAATAAAGAACATTCAAATTGGAAAAGTATCCAAGCTGACCCTGTTTGCAGATTACATGGTCTTATGTGTAGAAAACCAAAAACTCCACCAAACAATGATTAGAACCAATAAATAAATTCAGAAAAGTTGCAGGATAAAATCAATGCACAAAAAATGTAGTGCTGCTATATGCCAATAGTGAATTATCTGAAATAGAAATCAAGAAAGCAATTTCATTTACAATAGCACCAAAAAATAAAATATAAAAAAAAAATTTTATCAAAGAAGTGAATGGGGCTGGGGTTATGGCTCAGAGGTAGAGCGCTCACCTACCATGCATGAGGCACCGGGTTCGATCCTCAGCACCACATAAAAATAAAAATTTTAAAAATAAAGATATTGTGACCACCTATTACTAAAAAATAAATAAATATTTTAAAAAGCAGTGAAGGACCTCTACAATGAAAATGTTAAACATTGATGAAAGAAATTGAAGAAGACACAAAAAAGTGAGAAGACGTCCCATATTCACAGATCAGAAGAATCAATATTGCAAAAATGTCCACACTAACTAAGCAATCTACAGATTAAATGCAATCTCCATCAAAATACCAATGACATTCTTCAAAGAACTGGGAGAAATGATCTTAAAATTTATATAAAGCCACACAGAACAAAACAAAACAAACAAACAAAAAACCCAAATAGTGAAAGCCATCTTCAGCAAAAAGAACAAAACAGGAGGCATTACCATATCTGACTTCAAAATGTACTGCAAAGCTTTAGTAATCAAAACAACATTGTTTTGATATAAAAACAGACACACAGACCTATGGAACACAATAGACAGCCTAGAAGTAAACTCACACATCTACAACCAACTGATTTTAAAGAAAGATGCTAAGAACACTTACTGGAGAAGAGTATTTTCAATAAATGGTGCTGGGAATATCAACATGCTAAAGAATGAAACTAGATCCCTATCTCTCACTTCCATCAAAGACAAACTTAAAATGGATTAAAGACTTAAATTTAAAATTTGAAACTTGAAACTACCAGAAGAGATGCTTCAGGACATTGGAATAGGCATTTGATACTGGGGATTGAACCCAGGGGCACTTCAACACTGAGCTGTGCCCCCAGTCCTTTTTATGTTTTTTTGCTGAGACAGGGTCTCACTCAGTTGCTTAGGGTCTTGCTGAATTGCTGAGGTTGGCCTTGAACTTGGGATCCTCCCACTTCAGCCTGCCAGGTGGATTAGAGGCATGCATCACCACACCTGACTAAGGATTTTTTTTTTTTAACAAGACCCCAAAAGCACAAGAGACAAACAAAGACAAATGGGATTACATCAAACAAAAATGTTCCTCCTTAGCATCTCTACCAAAACAAACAAACCAACAAAAAACCCCACACACCAAAAAAAGAGCTTTTGCAGAAGAGGATCTTGGGATCCTCTTTTGCCAGGCCCTTCTGGTCCAACAGGGTGGGAATGAACGTTGGGCCTTACAACAATCAGCCTGCATGTTGGCTGGTGGTCTGACCTATCTTCCAAACATTCAATAAAGCACACTTAATGAAATAATAAGTTAAATAAAACAGATTAATCATAGAGGATTTACTAAGTTGTCTCCCATCTTCAGTGGGAGGCTGATTTTTTCCAGAAGCAGGGGTGAAGAACTCGTATATTCCTGGTGGGATGCCTGTGAATGGCTCTCCAATCAATGTGAACATCTTGTGGAGGTAGCTCTCTGGCTTGTAGGATGTGGGGTAATGGTGGACACAGGAAGTAAGACAGTGGGACACCCCAACTGGGACCTTACAACTGAGCAGCTGAGGAGACAGTGGACCTGGATCCTACCTGCAGCTGCCCTCTGGCTCCCTGAGGTTGGGTAGGGGAAGGTGCCCACAGAATTGGACTCTGAGTGAGGACTCTTAGTTGTACCTTCTCCATACTTATAGTTCTCTGTGATGTCATCCCGCTCATCACTCTGGATGCTCTTAGTGCTGATAAAATTGCCAACGGAATTTGTGTCCTGGTGTATTTTCTGCTCCTTCCCACCAGAGACAAGCCAGGATGTGCAGTCAGCATTCACCATAGAAAATGCAAAGGGAGTATCATAGTTCAGATCCACTTCTCCTTCTTTGATGGCCCTAACAGAGGCGGGACCACAGCAGTAGAGACCTGAAGGGGTACAAGAGAGCCTGAATAGGGGTTGTGGTAGGCCATACAGTGGCAGGAGCAGGTTCTGTGATAGGGGGCAGATTCTGGGAGTGGGTCCTGCCTTCCTTCCGGAGGGCCTCACCATTGCTGGTCTCTTGAGGTGTGGCATCCAGCACCTGCCAGCCTCCATATCCAGGAGGGAGATCCTTTCGGGCCATCCAGCACTCATTCCAGACATGGAAATTCCTGAGGGAAAAAACAGAGTCCCCATTAACCACAGCCAAGGGAGAGGTGTCCTTCTTGTCTTCTTTCTAGAGCAAGATGGGTGAGCAGGTGAACTGTTAGATAGAAAGACAGACTTAGCTCCTACAGAGTTTGAAGCCTCTGTGGATGAATAGTTTCATATCTGTGTGTTGTGAGCCTCTGTCTACCTCTAGAAAAGTGTCCCTCTGTTGACTTTGTGAATAGACAGCAAAGGTTTCCAGTCTATAGAAGTTAAAACTTCTTTTCTCTCCCTCAAAAATATTCCTGTGGCCTTTTTCCTGAATGGGTTGCTCATTCAAGGAGGCATGTGTCCAGAAGTATGACTCAGGCCCTTCTGTGGTCAGAACCATAATCTAAGGAGTAGATGAAGGACATGACAAAGAAGAAGACCTCAACCCAAGGCCTAGAGCTCTGATGATGTGAGGATTCTAAACCCAAGATGATTTTTGCTCCCCTGTCCCCCAGCCTTAGAATGGAGATACCAAGCCGTGAGTCTGGCAAGAGGTGAGGGTTATACAAGGGACAGGAGGCTAAGGACCAGTCCTGTTCTAATTTATTTATTTACTTTTTTGGTGCTGGGGATTGAACCCAGGGCCTTGTGCATATGAGACAATCACTCTACCAACTGAGCCAGCCCGTGTTCTAATTTATGCTTGTGGGGTTTGGCTCAGATTTGTGACCCTAGAAACAGACCAAGAGATGGTTTCTCACCAGACGGTATCCTTCTTCTTATTCTCCAAAATCCTGCCCGTGTTGTCATAGTATTCATCTATGATCAGGTTTCCATCTGTATCGTGACCGGAGTCAAAGTTGGTAACCACACGAGTGGGGATCCCCAGGCACCTCATCACTGCAGAAAGAGCAGAAAACCATCTGTGGGCTGTGGCCCTGGACTGAAGAAGAGCTTTCATTTAACATTTGCAGGACCAGGCAGAAGTTGTCTGGGAATGGGTTGGTGACATTTCCAATCTCTTCTCCACTTCCTGAGCTTGCAGGATGACTGTGCAAAGGTTAGCTGCTGTGACAAGCACTGCTAGAGCCAACAGAAAGTCTAGTAAGTTGTCAGATTTCCTGCCCATGCCAGAAGATGGAACAGTATATCTCTCCATTCGTGAGTCTCAGGGAGCTGACTGAAACTCACTTCTCTTCATCTTCAAGCCAAATAGCTGGGATTCTATTTCTTCCTGTCATTAGGTTAATGTGCGAGGCCACCAGATTCTCAGGCAAAAGGTTCTATGGCTTAGATTTCCCTCTTCCCCTGGGAATATTATTTTGGCCACCTCTCTAGGAAAGCATCACAGATTAAGCCAGGAATGGAAGGAAACTATGTAACAAAATCTTAGAAAAGTGAGAGTCTGTACCTGGTACAGAAATTTTTGAAAGGAAGTAGAATGTTGTTTTTATTCCTGAGGGGCATCCATTCCCTTTGCTAGCCAACCTCTTTCTTTGTCCTTTGACACATCTCCTTCATTCTGTGCTCTTTCAAGTAAAGTGATATCCCTTATCCTATCCCATCCCACCAAGTGCTGTGGGCACCTCTGTCCCTTCAATACAGCAGTGATGTCCTACCCAGTTCAATAATAATAAAGATAATAATAAGTGTCAAATGTTTCTTGTATTTAGTGTTATATGTTTCATATATATTATCCTCAGGACAACTCTACATGATATGTACAATTATTGTCTCATTTTATTTATTTATTTATTTTTTATTTTATTTTATTTTTTTTAAAGAGAGAGTGAGAGAGGGGGGGGGAGAGAGAGAGAGAGAGAGAGAGAGAGAGAGAGAGAGAATTTTTAATATTTATTTTTTAGTTGGCGGACACAACATCTTTGTTGGTATGTGGTGCTGAGGATCGAACCCGGGCCGCACGCATGCCAGGTGAGCGCGCTATGGCTTGAGCCACATCCCCAGCCCTATTGTCTCATTTTAAAGATAGAAAATCAGAGGCTAAGTAAAGTTTGCTACACTGACCAAGGTCACACAGTTAGTAAGGGATAGAGCTATCACTCAAGTCCTGGTTTCACTGCTAAGATTGTACTCAACACGGAGTTCACCTCTGGGTAGTATGCCCAGAGTTCATCATTCTAGTTATATATATAATTTATCTAATTATATATCCATGTATTTTCCCATGTAATCAAATATTTGCCAAGAGATTTCTAGTGGTGGTTATTTTTAGACATTTGGCTAGTGTTCAATATTTCCCCTGTCAAAAATGAGGCTGTGATGAATATCTTTATAGATCAATCTTTATTCCATCCCTTGGGGCAGATTCCAAAGGTAGAATGACTGATTAAAAATAAAGATATTTCTAAAGGTTCTTCAAACATACTACTATCATTTTTAAAAGTGTTTGGAAATTTTAGCTTAAGCATTTAATTGCAGATAGTTGTTAGCTTGATTTGGTATAAGCCTCTCCAGACCAAGGTGGGGAACCCCTCCCTGGATGCAACCTAGGATGGAGAGAAGAGAAGCCAGAGAGGTTCCTTGCATTGTCCCTGGAGAGGCAGGTCTGAACAGGGCCAAATAACTAGGGCAGACTGTGGGCAGTGCTGATGAGTCAGTAGAAGGTAGCGGTGACACAGAACAATGAAGGCAATGGTAAAGGTTGAAAAGATGTCACCAAAGAAATTCACAGAGGAAGTGAGGCAAGAGAGGAGCAATGCATGGGCACATTTTGTGCTAAAAGTATGGCCAGGAGGGTGGATGACACTCAAGATAACAAGACAGCATGCCAAGAAAGGGCAGCCAGGGAGAGAGCAGAGACACCTCCTCCCCATCTTCACTCTGATGAATTCGTGAATGGCCACTTGCAATGGTGGTGTCAACTCCTGCTAAACCTAGCCTGATGGGCACTTCTCTATCCTAAAACAGGTAAGTGATCTCATAACACTTGGAAATTCTCTATTGGACCAGAGTGCATGGCTTGTCATGATCTGTTTACAATTGTGTCTTCCTGAGGACAGGGATTATGTATGATTCATTTTATCATTACACAGCCATGAATAATACAGGGTGAGGCCTGTTTTGCCAACATTTGGTGCATCTTTACTGGATAGATAAATGAGTGGTGCCTTGTAAACCTTATGACCACTCTGGTGATTTCCAACTTCAGGGTATCACAGTCATAATAGCTGCATGCTATGCATGAAGGTCAAACTCAACTGTCCATAGAGCACAAACTTTGAGTGGTGATGGATTTGCACTGATTCATTGTCATTTTTCCTCATCATGGCTATGAGAAGACTGATAAGGGGGACATAGTGTCACAGCGGAAATAGGTGAAACTAGAAAGGGGCAAGCATAGTTTCTTGCATAGGAAGTGAAGCACACATGAAGGTAGCTAATGGTATTCAGACCTGTGCAGCCAAAGTCACGTATGTGCACATTCCCTGGAGCCTTGCTCCTTCTGTACTTCCTGCTCAGTCTTGCCACAAAGAGCTTACTCAGTCACTGGCTTCATCTCTCACTTCTGCAAGACTTCTGAATTTGAATCTAGAATCGTATGGAGATCTTGGTGTCACACATCTCCAGCTGAATGTTTTTTAGGGTTCCCAATCTTCCTTTCTAGTCAAGGATATCATCATCTTTGTAGGTGCCAAGTGTGGTGTCAAGCACTGCACAGGCTTTATCTCAATTAATTCTCTCCAAAACCTGATTCTCCCAACTTTAAAGATGAGATGCCTTAAAGTTTAGAGAAGTAATGTCACATGACAAGAAGAAAGCCAGGCCAGGATTTAAGCCCATGTTCTCCTCCTCCTCCTCCTCCTCCTCCTCCTCCTCCTCCTCCTCTTCCTCCTCTTCTTTTTAATATTTTTAGAGGTTGATGGACCTTTATTTTATTCATTTGTTTATATGCGGTGCTGAGAATTGAAGCCAGTGCCTCACAAATGCTAGACAAGAATTCTACCACTGAGCCACAACCCCAGCCCCTAGCCCATGTTCTTCTGATCTCCAATTCTTCCCTGCTGTAACTATAAGCCCACTGAAGCTTCACTGGACATCCCAGCCACACCTCAGGATCCATGTACCTTCCTCTGTGAAATTTTCACTGACTACTCTAGGCCATAATAACCTCCCTTCTCACGCTCTCACATAATCCCAGTCATCTGTGCCACACATTTTAGCACTGGATTAAGCTCTCTATAATTTAATATATGTTTTATCTTGTCATCCAGCTTATTAATAAACTTAAAGTCAGGCTTATATCAGATACTTTGTTTGTATTTCTTCATTCCTAGCACAGTGCTGAGTACAGAGTAGAGGCTCATTAATTTTCTGTTGAAGTAAAAGGTCTTCAACCTGTGAACAAAGTGTCTACAGACCACTCCTGATGACTCACAGTTTGAAATGATATTCAGGTGACCCTTTCATTGATAATTTTGTGGAACTGACTCCCTCAGAAAAAGAGACCTGTATAGGTTATTTGTATGTCTATACACATGTGTATACACACTCATGCAGGGACTATTGGGCATTTCACAGAGCCAAGAACTGCTATGCTCTGAGGTTCTGTGGGAATGAGTTATCTGCAGGAGTCTTAAATGGCAGAATGAGCACTTCACAATGAGCACTCCTATAAATTACTCCCCCTGTCCTCACAGAAGTGTCACCTGAACCAATAAACAAATATCAAAAACTTCAGCTGTTTTAAAAAGAAACAGTCTCTAGTCAAAAATGTTCAATTTGAACATTTCAAGGCCTTATATCCAACTTCTCATTACAAAACAAGAAACAGGGGCATAAGAAGAGCAACAATACAAGGATGCCTACCAATAAATCACAGAAAATAGCATTCTACTTTAACTTGAAGAGGACCATGTCCTAGTGTCTTCAACAAGATCATATTAAATGAAATGTCTTTTCCAGATTAAAAGGGACACCAAGGACATTGCAACTAGGTGTAATGCTTGGTTCCAGATAAGATTTTGATTTGGACAAACTATACAGAAAAAAGCTATAGCCTCACTCTTGCCAGCCCCTGCCATCAAAGGCCAAACAACCTCAGCCAGGCATCAAGTCAACATCAAGAGTGAGAAGTCAAGTTGATAGTAACTTCACCTGATAGACATGGTGAAAGTGGCACTCAGCCTTTGTGATCTTCCTCCCCAAAACACATAATTTCAGTCCAATCATGAGAAAAATATGAGACACATCCCAACCGAGAGGATTCCTAGAGGTGACTTCCAGGCCACAATATATAGAGAGGAAGAACCCAAGCAGACCCCCAGCAGTCTTACTGAGTTGAAGAGATGTAATTACAATTCAGGGAAGTTAAGGTGGCTCAAACTTGTGAGGTAGTATAGAAGAGAGGGCTGAACAGAGAATATTCCAGAGATTATCAGAGGGAGGTCCCTCCAGGTCTCTGGCTGAATGATGATCTGTGCACATATGAGAATGAAACTCCAAGAGGACAGATAAAGTAATAGAGTAGCTGGACCTCAAAACACACAGGGCATTGGAAGAGTTCTCAGAGAGTTGAAACTTAACTAGTAGAGCTAAATCAACTTTAAAGGCTACTCTGGACCCACTAAAATGAAGATTAAAAGCAAACCTCTGACAGCTCAAATTGAACTGCTAGGAACTTACTGGCAAACCATAACAATATCCTTTAAAGGAATAAAACAAAATACAGTTCTCAACAATGTCACACAATGATCATTTCCAAAAAAAATTCCAAACATGTAGAATAAGAAAAGATGACCCATAACCAGGAGAAAAATCAATCAATAGAGACAGATCCAGAAATGATAGAGATGATAGAATTATCAGACAAGGATCTAAAAGAGCTATTTTAAGTATTATAAATATATTCAAGGGGAGGTAGAGAAAAGCATGAACACAAT